TTTTTATAAAGCTTCACATCAATATCAACATATCCAATTATATTATTAATAAAATTGCTTGAAATTTTTTCAGGTGGTGGGTGGTGAGGAGGAGTTTGAGAAGTATGAAGAAGATCAATTACTACAAGAAGAAGATGAATATGGAGATGCGACTGATTATGTTGAAAGTTATTTTGATAATGGCGAAGGCGATGATTTGTATGATGACGGTGGTAATATATAAAAACAAAAAATTTTTTTTTTTCATAATTCTGATTTATTTATTTAATTATTTATTTAATTATTTATTTAATTATTTATCATTTATTATATAATTGTTTATATGATTTAGGTCAAAACGAAACATATTTCGATTGAACTTTTATTTAACTTGCTGTTCACAATGCACTTGTTGCATGTATATTCAATTTCTTAATAAAAATGCTTTTTTTGTTGGAAATAAGCATCTGATTTTTTTGGCGCGTTTTTTAATTCACGGAGGGTTTCATTATAATATACTTTTTAAAAATTCGAATGCTGCTTATTCTCGGGTTGCAGAATAAAGCGGTATCAATTCATTCTCAAATGAAAGAATGTCTGGTGTTTTTAGGGATGGCTTGGGAATAATGTTTAGTATTTATCTGTCGATATAAATCAATAGATGGTTGTGTTGGCAGTATTAAACATAAACAAACATGAAGCAAGCAACAAGTATCTGGCAAAGAATATTTTAAGATTGGTTTGAAATGTGAAATTGAATTGATTTAATGGCAAATGTTAAATTGGGAGTTATGAAAGTCCTTACCACAAGTTCATGTTCATTATAAAAGCAAAAAGATTTTTAACAATTTAAATATATTTGATTTTTGGTAATTTCAAATAAATCAAGTTTCTATACTATCAGATATAGTTAAATAATGATTTTGATTTTTTTTACAACAAAAAATAAATAAACTTATTCCTAAAATAAGTAAAACTATTGAAATTGTAATTGCTACTATTAAAACCGTATTAGTTGGATTTGTTGGAATAGGATTTGTTGGAATAGGAATAAATTCATTAATCCACATGTAATTAAATTTATCACTTGTATCCAAAATATATACTTCATTCATTTCAAGTGATGGCAGATAAATATTATTTCTTCCAAAAAATACAATCATATACTTATCAACTAGAACAGCCGAATGATACATACGTGGGAAAGGTGAAATAGTAGAAACATTTGCTCTTGACCAGGTAAAATTACTACTTGTTGTATCTAATATTACAAGATCATCTGAAACTGGAGTTAATGTGTATTGATTAACATAACCTCCGTATACAATAATACGACCATCATTTGCTATATACAGTATATTTTTAAAAGAAAAATTAATATAAATTTACTTATAAAAAATTAAAATAATTTTAAAAAGAATTATTATTACTTAAAACAGAAGAATGGCCACCTCGAGATGTAGGCAAATAGCCAGCAGCAGTCTAAAATAAATAACAATAAATAAATTTTGAAAAGCTTAAATCAAATCAAATTTTCAGTAACAAGGCTTACCATAGTATTCCACTTATTATCATTTATATTATATAAAATTATCTGTTTTAGAAAAAGAAAGATGGTCACATGATTTTGTTTATTTTGTCATGATTTATTTCATTATTACCTTTGACATC